ACAATCTCATGTCAGACGATAAATATCTTCATAAAGTCCTTCTGGTTGCAGCTAAGAAAGCAATCACATGGAAATGGCTGCAGGCAAACCCCCCATCAAAGGATGATTGGTTAGCAATAATCAACTAAATACACTGCATGGAGAGACTGACCTTCTCATTAAGGCTAAAGTTTGACCAATATATAAAAGTCTGGAAGAAATAGAATATGTACTGTACGGAATGTAACTCAACTCATGAAAAACCCTGATTTGCACTCACTGCGCATGTGACGCTCTGTGAAGGTTCAGTGCATATTCTTAAAGGTCACATATAATGCAAAATGTACTTGACCATGTTTTTCTTACACTATTATGTGTCCCTAGTCTGTCTACAAACCCCCCAATGCTGAGAAAAGTCCATCCTCTCCGTCTTTTGCCTGCTCCACTTTTCAGAAAATGTGTTTAGAGTTTTCCCTTCATGACATCACAAAGGGCAGTAACCCCTCCCCCAGGTGGGTGACACTCCCACAGCTAGGTGTTTGTTCTGCCCTCTGAGTCTGCCTTCTCACCATAAACAATAGGGCATGGAGCGAGAAAGACCGAGTCACCCGAGCCCTTCCAGAGAGGGGGTGTGGTCAGATACAGCTCATTTACATTTAAAGGTACAGACACAGAAACAGCCTGTTCTGAGCAGGGCTGAAATAGAGGGGTTTATGATCAGTGATCATGATACAATAAAATATAGGATCAGAGTGGATTTACTTCACAGACATGTTTTGAGGAGCTCTGAGACTTATTTAAACTTGTTAAAGAGGAGGAGAATATGTGACCTTTAAGGTTGGACATTGGGATCAGACCATTCACACTTTCCAACAGTCTACATGGGGACGGGACTAAGCATTTAGAATAATTAAAAAAATTAGTTTAACCAACTGTTACAGGACAGTTTGATACAAGGAAAAATTAATGAATGAACTATTATTTCCCTTATAGGGAATTTGCCTTGAACCGAGAGCATAACATAGACCTTGACAACCAAACATGTAAGGGCCAATGAGAAGCCAGTGCAGCCTGAAACACTCTCAGCCTGCTCTCATCACAGAAATAGGAAATATAGAACTGTTTTGAATGGATTCATCCTATTCAGCTCATTCTAGTATTAGTAGATCTAAATAATGTTTAGCTTGTACTTTGCATTGATTAATTCCTTTTTTTCAAGGTTTATTTCAGGGCTTTTTATGCCTGCATTTAGAGACAGGACAGTGGATAGAAAATCAGAGAGAGAGAGAGAGAGGGGAATGACATGAAAAAAAGGACTCACTGGTCACAATGGAACCTGGGCGGCCCGCCTGGAGGACTATAGCCTCACCAACAACTATGCTACCAGCCAACTTTTAACACACTCCCTGTACTTCCAGAGGAACACTTGGATCACTACAGACACTCGTGTCTTACAGTAATTGCAAAACTAACATTTTAGACAAAAAGCATCTGGGGATTTTCTAAAATACACGGCTAGAGTTTTTAATCTGACGATATCTTAAGTGTTTGTTTCACTTCCCCCCATCACCAGGCCGTAAGAGTTCACATTTAAGAAGCCAAATGCCATAGTCCTTGTTGTTTTCATATTTATTTCTAGACTTCATCTCACATCCTTTGGGTGGATAGATATTCTGATTCCCCAGGTTGTCCTGAAAAGTTGTAGTTTACATGGTTGTGCATCACTCAGGTGATATCATACAGAAGAAGAGCAGGCTTTAAAAAATAGGGGGAAATGCCTGAGACCTCAGAGGGTTAAAGCATCACATGATTACATGTAAGAGATTTCAAGTAGCAAGTTCAATAAAGTGCAGAGAGCTGAGTTCATACTGAATGGTCAGAGCTTGTTGAGACACTGAATACTACAAAGGAAGTGACGCCTATTTCAGTCCTCATCCTGGTCATTCTGTACCTGCGCCCTGAAGTCTAGAGTTCATACTCTCTTGACCAAAGGGGATGCAGAGGGTCTGCTGTGATCTTGCTGGCTAAATTCAGGGTGTACTGGTCTGTCAGGTAAGACATCCTGCACATTTGCCTCCCAGTTATCTTGATACGTATGTGAAAGAGGTGATGGTTTCTGATTACCTGTCATGAGACCTCAAGATTGAACTTTATATTTTAGGTCTATGTATGTGCAGACGCCGCAGGTTGTCCGGTAAGAACAGGAAATGTCAGTAATGACTCCAGTCTGACACACACTCTCTCTTTGAGATGCCACTCATTTATTGAGTGTGTTCGCGTGTATGTGGTAGTGGTTTAGTCTCATTGTCGCACAGAGGCTAAAATGATAAATACGCAGTCCAGAGAACCAGGGTGCAGTTGTCGTCTCTGCTGTGATGCTTCACTGAGGTGTAGTTTGATTGACAGGACGGACAAGGGTCTGAGGTCAGTGATAGGTGTTAATGCACATGGGCTGTTCAGGAGAATTAGGAGTGCGGAAATGGGGCTCCTGCACTGATAGCTGCAGAAAGTGGGTAACCTTGTGCAAAATGTAGTTTAACGTTCCTGTCCAGTTTGCTCGAGAGGTCACAGGTGAAAGATAAATGCAGTAAAGGAAAATAGCAGCTGTGAGATCAGTGTTTTCACCCTCACAGTGCATATGATGCTAACAGCTAACACTCTCTATCACAAGCTGGGAGCCGGTGGACCCTTGATGTACAGAAAGATATGGAAATAGGTGAATTATGTGTATAATAAAGGAATATTCAAATCCTTCCTCTCAACTGATGGCACATTATTAAGCATCCATTAAGCAAGCTTGTGCAAGAATATCTAAAGATCTTAAGATGCCATTGATGACATCGAAAGGTTCACAGTAGTGTCCTCTTGGGAACGTTTAAAGATCTGTTTCATGTTGTGCAAGTTGTCCTCCAGAAACCAATTTATCACTTGCACTTTGAATGCTCCTGAACCGTTATTTCATCAGATATAAATGTCCCAGATCGTATAAAAAAGTAATCAGTGAATTACTGTGATTTATCTTGGTGCACACACATACAGTATGCATGTTCACAAGATGGGACATATCTAGCAGTGAATCTTGGCAGCTCCAGTAAGACATCAGAGGAGGCAGCAGCTGGCACCGTGTTCAGAGAGAGGAAGGCAGAAAGATGACGGGGGATATACGGAGTCTGTCAGAAGCAATGTCAGGGCATCTCTCCTCATCTGCTCTCCGCCGAGCTCCATTCATCTTGGCAGATAGCAATTTATATGTCAAGTTAACCTCCCTCCAAAGACTTGGCTCCGATGTCTGACTGGGGCAGAACAACTCCTCTGACAATTCTATGGTGCAATAACACAATTACAGGGCGGTGAATAGAGCGGGGAACAGCTCTTACAGTCGTAGTACATTAACCTCCTTTCATCACAACGGCCCACTTCAAACTCACATACAGCGTCTGCACAGTGTAAAGGCAGAAATTACAGAAATATAACCTCTTTAACAGTGCTGCAGGAAAATGTTAAAAGGAGGCTGAAATGTGAAAAGGGTCGTTTGTATTGTAAGATATGAGGCTTTGTGGGTATCATGAGACTGTTTAAGTTGGAAAGAAAAAGGATTGCGTTGGTTAAAAAAATCACACATCCTTCCTTTAATCCTACAATATGTTCAACCTTTTCTACTCTTGGTTATATGATTGTAGTTCAAAATTACCTCCAACACTTTTTCACGAGTAGTACATTATCTTTGTTTTATCTACCGAAAATGTAAAATCCTGTAAAATTTCAAATAAAAGCTCATCCTTAAAGACCTGCAGGCCTTTTTATTAGCCTGGTGTTGACGCACGTTTCCACAGGCCTTAGTTTGCATTGTTTAATGTTATATATACATTTTACAAATACATGTCCTGATTCTAAATATTTAGAATCTAAACTACATATTTAGCTAAGATTTCTAAATATTTAGAATCAGAACATGTATTTGTAACACTTATATAATACATTAAACATTAAGATATCATATTTAACATTTATAGTTGCCAATGAAATTATCTTAACTTTATATTCACAAAAACTACATTTGACAAAGTTCACAAACATTTCTCTAAATGTGAATAAAAAATGACTTGAAAAAAAATGATGAAAAATTTACACACATTTTTAAGGGTTGTTTTAGGGCTAAATGTGGATAAATGTTGTTGTTATTTCTAGTGTTCGCGACTTTACAATTGGCGCCCCATAGCAATGGGTGGGATGGGTGTGGGGAGACCAGTTATTATTCTGGCAGCTGTGGTTGTGATGCGTGTGTGGTGAAGTTGGCCCTTTTGTTTGTTTGTTTGTTTTTAATGAACAGATTCTGTTTATTAGACTATGCAAACACAGAGTAGTGTTCAAGTAATCCACAATGAGAATAGCTTGTATTATGATGTTGGAAGAAAGAAAGAAAGATAGATAGATAGATAGATAGATAGATAGATAGATAGATACTTTATTGATCCTGAGAGAAATTCAAAGCATCCAGTAGCAGGTTATAAAGACGTACATGACATGAAACATTTGTTACAAATTAAACAGCAAAACCGACGCCCCCCTCCCATACATATATATCAACCCGAAAAAAAGATTTAAAGAACACCCCTAGATGAATCAAACTTAAACTGTGCAATTAAAATTAGACTTATACAAGAAATGTACATAACCAGTGCAGGGATAAAAATATATGTGAAATTTAAACAAGAACCTAAAAACAGTTGAGGGAAAAAAAATCTGTAATCCGTAATTAGACCTGATCTAATTACACATTCTGACTCTGATCTAACAGAGGAAGCAGAGTAAGCACGGGGACAATGGCAGACATAATGGTAATAAATGCAGGTTGTGGGGCCCCCCACATATGTCTTGCCTGGGGCCCCATCAGACTCTTGAATCGCCACTGGAAATAAATATGAAGAATTAATACGTTTTATTAAATAATCGGCTGAGTGGACTGTAGACCACTAGGGGGCGACATCGCGTCATTCTACGTCGTTAACGTCAAAACAGAAGAAGTCTGTGACGCCTGTTGTCGTGACGTCACGATGTCTGAACGAGCAGCCTAGCCTGAGAGATAACGGCTTAGTTTTGTTTTTGATTTAATTTAGCCTTTGTTACGTTTGGAGACTCGGACATTATACTAGATGGGGACCAAGCGCTTACCATGAAACTCCGGCTGCAGAATGACAGGTGAGCTAAAGCTTTTAAAACAGCAAACCAGGCCCGAGAAACAAACATCTGTTAGCTGCTAATGCTAACTGCAACAAGCTAACTGTCACTACTTTGATTAAGTATTTAAAGTAATCGATGTATAGACAAACCACCTGTTATTAACTTAACAAAAGCTTTTACATTAGCTCCTTAATATCTGAAATATCGAAGTACTTGTAAATCCAGGCTAAGCTAAGCTAAGGCTAACCTCTTATTTAAGTCGATGTGTCAAAACAACTCTTAAAAGTCTCGTTTTTAAAGTAATCTAGCTTTTAAGTGTTAAATGGAAATAACCACATTCCTTAGATCTTCATTTGGTCTAAACCTGTTGTTTATGTACAAAAACAACAGGTTTAGACCTTATACTTTACAAAGACCAATCATTAATCCACCTTGAGTACACGATTAAGAAACTTATACCAGAGTTACAAAGACAGCAGGAGCTCAGGTCCTCCAACAATAACAACCTGTAGCATCATAACTAGGAGCTGGTCCATACCTGAGCCAGCTCTAGTAATTTACATAGTACATTTACGGATTAGATTTACAGATAGTGACATGCCATCATATGATGTGACTGCATACAAAGAGAGAGACAGGAGCTCAATGTGCCAGGTCTAAGTCTGAGCCTATAGCAGTATAACTAGGCGCTGGTCCATACCTGTGCCAGCCCTCGCTATAAGCTTGATCAAAAAGGAAAGTTTTAGGCCTACTCTATTAAGTAGAGAGGGTGTCTGCCTCCCTGACCCAAATACAACGCTATAATGTGAATATTTCCCTTTATATCAATGCTATGTGTAGCTCGACAGAATCACAATACAAAGTCTGTGCTCTTATTAAACTGCTGCATTATGTTTTCTGTTCTCCAGTATGTTCTTCACTCTTCTGTTGATATTGTGACTCTGTTGAACTACACTTCCACGTCATTTTGTTTACACCATGTCTTGCCTCAGGAGACCCCCCATCCCCTCTTGTCTGACAGTGACCGTCTCCCTCTGTGAGGTGCATGTGTATACAACAAGTCAGGACTATTTTAGAAGCAGTCCTCCTGAAATTCTCTAGAACTCTTGAGTGCATACGTGAACACAGCTTGACTTTTTCAATAGATTTCTGTTGATAAAGTGAAAGGAGCGTTGTAGAAGTGTAATCTACTGGTAAGTATTTCACCATCATGTTGATAGGACCTGCCAAATTTATGCAGAGAAAGAAAGCTGCTTTCATCATCTTCTTCAAGCAGGATTTAAATTTGAAGGATCAAACTGCACAACAAGTTTGGAAAGACCTCCTTTTTCTTTTTGTTTGTGGCCTGACTGTTTTGTCACATTTTTATTCAAGATGAACAGACAAACCAGTTTTTAAAGAGTTATGGTTTGGTCATCATTTGGAACCAAGGAAACATTAAGTGAAGTCTTGATTGTGGCACACTTTCCATGTCATGTAAATACGTCTCCACTGACTGGTATATAATTGTAAAGGAGAGGGCCCTGATACCTGAAGGCTCTACCTCCCATAGTACATCTACAGACTGTAGGAAGTTACCAAGTTACAGTGGCAAGGAACAACTGAACCTGACTCATGTGGAACAGGCATCTGCCAAAAGTGTTTCGGGGTTGAGAGGGGATCACGGGAGATGCAGGAAGAGAGAGAGATGGAACAACAATGACTACAATAGATTACAACATTACCAACAAGTCGTTAGATGTGTCTACAATGTCTCCTTTCACTTGATTTTTAAATGTCAAACTCTGTCTTACAATATCGTGTTAGATTATCCGGCAGCTCTGGAAAATTAAAAATGTATTTGAAAAGTAACGATAACTTCTTTCAATCTCTGTAAGAGTTCTGTTATTATTGTTTTTTTGTGTTCCATCAAATAAGCGCATGAGCTCTTGATTTATCGATAGACGACCCCTGAATTTAACCAAGTCAGAGATGTTTGTGACAGTCCTTTTGATATCAACATAATGTCTGTATTCAAGAATTGATAGAACATCATTAAATTCAAGAAAATTCTTGTTTACATTCCTACTGGACTTATTATGACTCTGACTGTAAATGTTTGATTCCATATCAAAGGAGTGATACCAGAAGAGCACAGAAATTGAGGGATTCTTCTATTGTGATGCAGCCTGATTCAAGCGAGCGGGGCGCTAACGCAGGAAATGGATTGTCCCTGACGCTGCAGCCAGAGCTTCTCACCAGGACTCCAGCCACTGGTGCTGCTGCCGCCACAAACCCTGAGAACATTGAGGTACGGGTACCCATGACGAGCGGGCCTGGGGAGTCAGGTGGAGGTGCCTCATCCAGGAGGTGCAGAATCAACTCCCATGGCCACGCCCACTCCCATTCTCAGTCACATGGACACCATCGGGTGCAGCATCACCCGAACTCAGAGCCAGAGCTTGACTCGCCTGACTCTGACACGGACTCTGGAGAACCCAGCACCTCCGTGTCGGAGCTTCGCTGTCTCTTCCGCTGGATCCAAAAGAGCCTTCCTTTCCTTGTCATACTGTGTGCTAAACTGGTCATCCAGCATGCTCTAGGTGAGTTTGAGTAAAGCAAACACATGCATGGCAACTGTACGCAAACAAGGAAACATATCAAACTCCTTCTCATTATCTTCCAGGTCTAGCTGTTGGGGTTGGCCTCTTTACAACTTTTCTATATGTGAATAAAAACATTCAAACTCAAGTCTTTCTTCAGGTAAGCCAAGAACAAAAAAGCACACTGGTTGATTCCTCAAATGTTTAATTGCTGTTGGAATCCAAATCCATGTTGTTGTCTGTGTGTGCTGTTAGGAACGTCAGTCCAAGCTGCAGAGTGGTTGGCTGCTGCTGTTCCTGATCTCTTCCACCCTCCTGCTTTACTACACTTTTCTCACTGAGACACTTTACTATTGGTAAGAGTGAATGCATTACCTCATAGTCCTTACTTTGAACAAGACTGTGAGCTATTCCCTGTAACCAGTGACGTAATCTCATTAAAGACGTTTTCAAATCTTCACTCCTTGAGTTCACTCACTTTCTAGAATTTCAGGAGGACTGCTCCTGGTTATTCTCCTGACCTCACTGTTCACACATGCTCCTCACAGCGGGAGACTATCCCTGTCAGACGGGAGGGGGGGCGGGGGGGTCTCCTGAGCTAAAGACTTTACCTAAAATAAATGACAAGGAAGTATCGGCTAAAGCAACAGAGTGCGCTATACAACGCTATAATGTGAATATTTCCCTTTATATCAATGCTATGTGTAGCTCGACAGAATCACAATACAAAGTCTGTGCTCTTATTAAACTGCTGCATTATGTTTTCTGTTCTCCAGTATGTTCTTCACTCTTCTGTTGATATTGTGACTCTGTTGAACTACACTTCCACGTCATTTTGTTTACACCATGTCTTGCCTCAGGAGACCCCCCATCCCCTCTTGTCTGACAGTGACCGTCTCCCTCTGTGAGGTGCATGTGTATACAACAAGTCAGGACTATTTTAGAAGCAGTCCTCCTGAAATTCTCTAGAACTCTTGAGTGCATACGTGAAAACAGCTTGACTTTTTCAATAGATTTCTGTTGATAAAGTGAAAGGAGCGTTGTAGAAGTGTAATCTACTGGTAAGTATTTCACCATCATGTTGATAGGACCTGCCAAATTTATGCAGAGAAAGAAAGCTGCTTTCATCATCTTCTTCAAGCAGGATTTAAATTTGAAGGATCAAACTGCACAACAAGTTTGGAAAGACCTCCTTTTTCTTTTTGTTTGTGGCCTGACTGTTTTGTCACATTTTTATTCAAGATGAACGGACAAACCAGTTTTTAAAGAGTTATGGTTTGGTCATCATTTGGAACCAAGGAAACATTAAGTGAAGTCTTGATTGTGGCACACTTTCCATGTCATGTAAATACGTCTCCACAGTGTGGAGTTAACCTGAATGTCCTCCTCCTTCCAGCCTCATCTTTCTCAGCCCAGCCATCGAGCCGCTGGGTTTCTGGGAGGTGCTATGGGCCGTTGGTGTTACCAACTTTGTAATAAAGTTCCTCTGTATGGGGATGAAGTGCCTTATTCTACTGCTGCCATCTTCCCTGGTGACCTACAGAGCTCAGGTGAGAGTTTCTGAGTAACTTTAACTTTTTTAACTTGCTTTAGAACAAAACTTTTCTCTTTCGCTGCAGTGCCGGTTAAGTAGTTTTAATTTAGTGTTTTTGTGTTTCCAGGGCCGCTGGATGATGCTGGCTGAAGAGATTGGTCAAATCCACCAGGCCGTGGCGCCTTTTCCACTGTGGTTCCGCTACCTGGTCATTTACCAGGAGGCTGACGGCACCCCTGGACTCACATTGGGGGTCCTGCTGGCTTTGCTCTACCTCATACTAAAGGTGTGTTAAATGAAAATGACAATGTGAAAATAAAAATTGAAATCTCTTCTTTTTTTTTACCATAACTTTTGCTGCTTTCTGTCTCTTAGCTTTTAGGATTGTATGCACAGTGGACATCTTTACTGAAAACTGTGAGGATATTTCTCAAAGGCGAGGTAAGAAGTGGTCAGTAGCACTGTTTATCATCTTCAGAATCCGTAAGCAGCTGTGTTGAAGTGTTGTTTTCTTTGGTTTCACAGCATACAGGCTCCGCGGCCACCAGGAGTCAGTGCAGCGAGGCTGGAGACGTTTGTCCCATCTGTCAGGGAGAGTACAGGGAGCCTCGAGCTCTACTCTGTCAGGTAATAACAGAAGAAAGTGGGCACATGGATAGGGCGGGGCTTAAAAAAACAGTAGGTAAAATGAAGCGTTTCAGGTAGAGGCTAAATGAGGGTTTTTACTGATGCCAGTATCAGATACATAAGGATGCTCTATAGGTTTCACAGACTGACATCATGAGAGCTGAACATGAGGAGAATATGGGATCTTTAAGTTCTTCTAAAATAATTCATTTAATTATTGTCCTTGAAAACTTCCTGAGTACATCCCTTAAGTTGATAGAGTCAAGTATTGTTTAAGTGCATGGCATGCTCACATGTATAAATTTTTGTTTTCTGTGCAGCACATATTCTGTGATGAATGCATCGCTCTGTGGTTCAACCGGGAGAAGAGCTGCCCTCTGTGCCGCACCGTGATCACAGAGAAGGTCTACAAATGGAGGGACGGAGCCACATCCCCACACCTGCAGATTTATTGATGAGGCAGGCCGGAGGGGGCTTTGGGATGTGGGACACTGGTATTAGCTACTAGCTGTATTTAAATGTGGGATTTATTTTTCTCTGAATGGCAAATAATGTTGTACACACTGTTTCATGTATCGGTAAAGGGCTGTGATCCTGACGGGTGGTGGTCCATAAAGATTTTTACCTACAGAAGGTTATGTTTCTGGATTATTTACCAGAGCATCCCAGATTTAGCACTCCCAGGAAACGCTGATTATTCTCATGCCTCCAGTGTTGTTTTGATCTATTTTAAGTTTTTCTCCTCTTGTGTTGTTTTGCTTTTATTCATCTTTATATGAACTTTCCTTCGGGGGCAGAGAGATGTTGTGTCCACCTGTAAATAGAGGAGCAGCAGAGAAATATATGAATAAGTATTTTAAAAATATTTTTTTTCCCTTTATAATACTATCAAAAATCTAAAGACGTGAACCCAGTGTTTCTAAATTTGTGGACGTGATTTTTTGTTGTTATTTGTAACGATGAATATGTGGAGTTAATCAGCTGCACACTTCAGGAGTGATCTCTGAATCCTGTGTGAAATGACCCTTTGAGCCTGAATGTGTTAAAATGTGAGTCTCCAGCTCTGACGAGTGTCGTGTGAAGGCTTTAATGAAGCCCAAGTACGCGGTGACATCATGTGGTCAGCCTGCTTCCGGGCACGGAGGATGATAACGAATAACCGAATGTGACGGACGAACAGTTTGCTTAACGCTTTCACAACCTATAATGAGGATGCAAATGAGCTTGTGAGATTGATTTACACAAATTATTTTTCTACTGAGGTGATGTGACCTTGATTTTGTAAAGAAAAAAAATCAACCAAAGAGCAGGAGAAAGATCTATTTTATTATGTATGAGGTCAGTTCACCTTGTTATTTTTACCCATTTAAATCCATAAACTATCAATAAAGATCTACATTTCAATCCTGTGTGCTGCATGTTTTATTTAATGAAAGGAGCATGACTAAATGTTTTAATAATGTAGAAAATGTGTTGCTGTATTTGGTGTTTAAAAAAAGCCTCAGGATGGTAGGCGTCGCGTGCACAGAGGCTGCGTCCTCCACACATCAGCTGCTGGCTCTATTCCTGGTCTTGGCCCTTTGATGCCCGTGTACTCCACTCTCTCCTCGCCATATTTCCTGTCTCTCTTCAGCTGTGCTACCGACAAAAAGGCCAAACTAATAACCTTAAAATAATCTGCACCATCAAACTACGTACAGGAGTTCCCTGTATGTAGTTTGATGGTGCAGAACCACTGCACAATAATCACAGAAATTATCTTTTTTTAGAAATCCTACCTAATAGATTCTCAGCTTAAATATTAGTAATTTAATTATTCCCCCTTTTTCAAGATAGATTTTCAGGCTTTTTATGCGTTTTTCTTTTAGAGATACGACAGTGGATAGAGTCATAGATCAGGGAGAGAGAGAGTGGGGAACCTCAAGCAGGAAAAGATCCACAGCTTAGGCTAGATTCAAACCCAGCCCATCTGCTCTCAAGGACTTCATCCTCTGTACATAAGCCACGACTTAACCACTAGGCTACTGGTGCCCCAATGTATTCGTCTTAACTGATTCATTTTCACTTACTGCTAGGCTACAAACTCACTGACTGAGCTACAGGACGGTGCAGATGTGGAAGAGAAAATTTGGTTTTCAGTGACACACCGTTTTGTGCTTACTTTAATTAAAGGTCACATACTCTCCTCCTCTTCAACCAGTTTAAATAAGTCTCAGAGCTCCTCAAAACATGTCTGTGAAGTTTCTTGTTCTAAATTCACTCTGATCATGTCTATAAACCCCTCTATTTCAGCCCTGCTCAGAACAGGCTGTTTCTGTATCTGTACCTTTAAATTTAAATGAGCTGTGTCTGACCACGCACCCTCTCTGGAAGGGCTCGGGTGGCTCGGACTTTCTCGCTCGATGCCCTATTGTTTACGGTGAGAAGGCAGACTCAGAGGGCAGAACAAACACCTAGCTGTGGGAGCGTCACCCACCTGGGGGAGGGGTTACTGCCCTTTGTGATGTCATGAAGGAAAAATCTCCAAACGGCCTGTTTGAGCAGACATTTTCTGAAAAGTAGAGCAGGCAGAAGACGGAGAGGATGGACTTTTCTCATCATTGGGGGGTTTGTAGACAGACTAGAGACACATTAATGTTAGAAAAACATGGTGAAGTGCATTTTGTTTGTGACCTTTAAAATGACACCGATTAAACACACTAAGCTGTTTAAACCAGCACTCTTTGTTCTTCACTCTCCAATCAATTACATGCTCTGAAACAAGTTCCATAATGCTTTATTGTGACCTCGTTACGTACATGATACAGATTAACATTCTCCATCTGAAGAGGCGGGTCTACGGCAGCTGATAAAGCGACAGAAACGTTATTCAACGCCCATCTGCGATTAACACATCTCAAAGATGCAAGCATCGTGCGGAGGATACTCGTCAAGCATCCCAGCTTTTCCTGACCCCTCTCAGACTAAACAGTCGCAGCATTGATCCTAATGGGATCACGTCATCACATCGCAAAGGCACAATGCATCGGTTTGTTTTCATAAAAACTACCCTCCTGCTTTAAGCACTGCAAAAAACACAAACTGAACTTCAAGTTTTCTGCAAAGGAAGTCAAAGATTTAAAATATTGTTTTTTTGCAAATTGCCTGTGAACATGACACTATGCCACACAATAAATACGATAAGACTTTAAGATAACCGTCATCAGTTTTGGTATGAGGAAAAAAAAAAAGAAGATGCATCTGAGGTTTCTGTAGGACATTATCTGCAGAATTAAAATCATACTGTACACGCTAATCATAATGAGAATATAAGTCTCCAAATCAAAGGATCACACATCCTGCAGCCTTATCTAAATAATACTACATAATAAATACAAAGATTGCATAGTGTGAACAATGCAGAGGAAACAAAATGGCACTTGAAATAAATACAGTAACAATGGAACAAAGGGACACATTGGAGTGACTGGTCTTAAATACAATTAAACTGGAATGGTAGAAGACGAAAAAACAATGAGCAGCTCGCCAGGTTAAGAAGTAACTTGCAGGAATTTTTTTTTAAAATGCCTCTTAGAGCATCACTAAAATCAGTAAAATCAAATGTGACATGGTGAACAATCTTATCCAGAGTCTACCAGCAACAACATTTGGTTAATTCAAACAGTGGTTTTGGTCATCTTGTTCAAACACTTAAAGAAGCAATCTGTAAGATCTCTGCAGAGTGAAATAAAAAAGTGACCTTACTATATGATCAGACATTAAGGAAACATGCTATGTTGAAATGCTGGCTTCTCTGACAACAATGCAGCAGCCAGTATGTCCTCCTTCCAACTTTAGATTCTGGTCCTGATTTGTTTGGACCAGAGAAGGTAGGCGGTGTTAAGACACACCCACACAGACGTTTTGGACGCCCCTCGGTTTGTCAGATATGAGAGCAGTTATCAGGTCAACAGGTGTTGCAGCGATGGAAGTGGGCAAGAGAAGTGGTTCAGATAGAAGTGATTGTACCCGACCTAAAAAGCCTCTGCATGTTTCTAATAAGCGCCACGAGCAGAAACGTGCTCAAACTAGGATCAATATTGGAGATGATTTTGAAAAATGGAGAGAGGTTAGAACACAGAAAGGTTTACAGACTGATGCAGAGCTGGATAAACACTGAAGCTTCAGTGTCCACAACATGGTGACCTGTGTGAGCATGGACTCTAGAGAGGAGGGGGCGGGGAGAGACAGCTCTCTACAATGTTTAGAATGTGGACTGCAGTACACATTTTAAACACTAGGTGTCAGAGTTACACATTGCTCCTTTAAGTATTTGGATAAAACAGAACATAATGAGGCATTTAAACTGAAGCCTATTAGCTTTAATTCGATTAGCATCATGGGAATCTGCACCCATTAGTGTGGTCCATTTTAGGGTTTGAATGGGTCTCCAGAGGCTCGGATTGATGTCAAACAGGATTTAATAGATGGTCCCCTGACTTAGCCCGGGTTAACCCCCCCGATACCGATGTTAAAGTTTATGGATGCAAAGCTCCCGAAACAAACAAGACATGATATTCTTTATCTGAGCATGTTTTGTTTCTTGGTCTCTAAAGCTGCATGAAAAAAACAAGATAAAAAAAAAAAAAACACCTTCTCACTACAGGTGGTCCGATACAGACGCTTTGTCAGTGTTTCATAAACACAAACTCGTCTTTCTAACGCCTCTCACAGGAACGCCCCATTGTTGTGAGGAAGCACATCATGATTTGAGTTCAAATCTGACTTTTCTTTCCATGTGGGACTCGAGCCCCCGTCTCCATGAGTATTCATTGGAGCTAGAGAAAGCCTTGTGTGTCTCGTGCAGATGCTAAAGGTTCATTTGTGCATCTTCATGAGAAACTGATAGGGTCTGCAAAGCTTAAACATCCGTCAGGTAAGGAGTGATATCAAGCTTCAGAGCTAAACACAGAAGATGTAAGTGACACACTGGGAAAAAAAGGGCATTTAGAGTGAGTTTACATTTAACACATGTAACACAAGAAACTGAACAGTGCTCCTGGAACAAAGAGCATCCCTGTCAGCTGGTATTGATTGAGATTGGAGGGGACTGTGTTCAACTTAAATGTCTATCTGTTCAGAGCTGCTGTTTTCTGTAAGTTGTCTACTTAACCCAGAGAAACAGGCAATGGGATTGTTTTCCTCAAACGTAAAGGAATACTGCAGAATTATTCTGAAATAGTGCTGCGTAATGATGGTGTTTTCATGCTAAACACTGACATTATTTCAGAGAGGGTTGTTAATGCCTCCTGAGACCCCGACCCTTCCAACAAGGTGTACTTCAAGCTACGACGGAAACTTGAATATGAAACTCAGATTTCAGGGGCAGCCTGTCCTGAAATATTCTAATAATTTTCAGGAGTGCATGTGTGAAAACAGCTCCAACCTGGGGCATGTTTTATAACCTTCAGGCCAGAGCGTTGTAAGACTTGTGAATGCTGTTGTCAGTTTTGATTGGTTGTCTTTGTTGCCTTTTTGATACGCATGAAAAAAAAAAGTAGTTTAATAACCTAAACTTTCCCTAGAGCCGACAATCCATCCTTAAGAAGATCCCGTGTCGAAGTGTAACTCAAAAACATCTTTATTAATTTTTTGTCTTTGTAGACCAATCCTCAGACTCCTTGTTACTGCAGCTCTCTGGCTGAAACCAGGAATAGACCTCGCCGCAGATTTTCAGATGTCTTTACCTGACAGATTTAATGAAGTTCATCTTTTTAACAAAGAACAAAAATCTGCTCAGCAGCATAGAGTCAATGCTGGTTTCAGTGTCTTTGCCTCACCAGACTGCAATCAATTTAATTTTATGAAAAAGTTGCAGTGTGGTTAGTTTAAGGCATCTGCTGGTTTTCTTCCTGTAAAGATTTTTTCTTTCAGTTAGACAGTATTTTAGTATCAATGGGTACGCAGCGGTCTCCGGGGTAAACTTCACTGTGAACCATAATGGATTTACCAAAGCTTGCACAGCACTCATCCTGGCTGAAATGCTGTGCTTTGAGAGAGTCCTGCTCAGTATGACCTGCATGGTTTTTGTTTTTAACAACATGATAATGAATCAAACAAAAAAAAGAAAAAAGAAGCTGACCTATGGAGAAAAAATAACCACCCCCTGTAACCATATCTCTCAATGTGATGGAGGCATCTAGTTGTAAACACTAAAAGTAACATCATTCAAAGTATAAAAGCACCAGTCAATCATATGATAGAGCCAGTTACACCAAAACCACCTCAGCACAGTCATCGGCTGGCATAACCCAGCGAACAAGCAAGTCGACTTTCATTGAGGAGCCCCCTCTCCTCTGAATGACCGCGTCCCTTCTGTACTCGGACAGCTGATCATCTGCATCACGCTGTGGAGGCGGAGTCAGGAGGATTTCAGAGGCTGTAAGACGGGAAGGCGCTGCTGGAAGAGCTGGTGATCAACGTTGACATTGTAAGTCAGTCAATTTAAAAAGATTCTACAAGTCTCTTTGAAATAAAACTATAAAAAAAGAGGAAAAGGAAGAGGTGGAAGAGTCCTAATGTTCACCGAGGAGCCGGGCGTCATAAGTTCATGCGTAGATGTTCCGGTCTTTTGGAGTTCAGGGGGTAGACCTGCTTTTTGTACAGCCCTGCGTTGATGCCTGAAGGTTGCCGGATCGGGAGAGGTGCAGAGGCCTCACTGCCGCCGCCTGTGTCCATTTGCTCCACCGCCGACACCTCCATGGGCTGATCCACAGGGTTTCCGTGGGACAGCAGGGACGGGCAGCCGGTGAGCCTGTGGCCCCGGGGCCAGCAGTCCCCTCCTACAAACTTCACAGGACTGTGGAAGAGAGGGAGAGGAACTGAGATCATTCCTCTGAACGAATGTCTGTGGGGCACCAACTGTTCTTTGTAAGGTCAAAGAGGCATCTTAGTAACTGTGTGTGATTTTTGACTAAGAAAATGAAACCAAGAAAGAAGCTGCAGGCTGAAGACGAACTTCAACAGCCACCATTGTTCACATTCGCGGATATCATGGCATACACTCACTAGCCACAGTATGAGAAACACCCAGTGGTTCCCCTAGGTTTACAGTCGTCAGACGACGACACAAACACTTGAAGGAATCTTGGTGTTCATGTGTTACTTTTAATGACAGCTGTCCTGTTCTATGGGAAAGGTATCCTTAAATGACTTCTTTCCACTATCCTATCTCTACAATAAAAAGGCCCAAAAAGCCCAAAAATACATCTAAAAATACACCCCCACCCCGGCCACCCCCCTAATATAATGGTAGGGGAAACACTAAACACCTGATTGATCAATTCTCTGCATTTAGAAGTCTCTTCATGTTCAGTTTGGATTGAGAATTTAAGAACAGGCTGCTACAGTGGCATGGATTATTCAATATGACCGAGGAGTTCATTCATAAACACATGAAGCTGCAGCCGAGCGTGACATTATGAGAAACAAAGGATCAATTGGATGTAAACTTTACATCAGATTTGAAATGTGTATATTGTCCAGCTCTCCTGATCTCTAGAGAGGTTGAGTCATTGAAGTGGAACTCTTAGTTATTCTTCTGATGATGGTTTGTTATTTCAGATGAATCTTGCAGCATTTACAAGCTCAGCGGATGAGTAATTGAGGCAGGAAAGACTTGCTGTGTGGAAAATCTGTAAATGATGACCAAAGGAATTTAACAGAACCGGAGTAAAACAAAACATCTTGTTGTTACCTCACAGGTGTTCTCGGGCTTCCAGGGAACTTCCGCGGTGAGCGGACCTTTGGCTCGAAGGAGAACTTCTCTTTGACATTTTCCAGCACAGATGGGGCTACATATGTGAAACCCTGAGGGAAGGGGGGCGGGACAATAACAGAGAGACATGTGAGACCACCTCTTCAAAGACTTTGTTTCCAAAAACAACCCACAGCTGATGATGAACAATGAAACACTGAGTAAACCGAATCATGCAATGTGGCGAAGCAGTGAGAGAAGCTTCCAGGAAAACCAACAACACTGAACCAGCTGGGATGAATTAACCGATTCTCGTAAGACTGACTCGATGAAAAAGAAACAGAAAACATGAAGTCTGCAGCTGACCTCTGTTTTGTGTGTGAGTGAGTGTTTGTTGACATCGTGTGTCCATGCTGCACGAGGACCTTGACCTTAATGAGATCTCCATATGAAGATGATGGAGAATATGTCAGTGTAATGTTTGTGTTTTCGATCTTCCTGCTCAAGGACCACAGACGTAAATGAGCTGTATAGTGAACTCTAACCCCACAGTAGTGTTGTGTATGGCCCCAGTCAAAATAAACCAATAAACTAACATTTCTCAAAATGAATACTTGCTACAAGCGCTAAAACCTGACAATGGCTCATAGCAGTGGTTTTCAACTGGTCTAGCCCAAGGGCCCACCAACAACTCCTTCATGAAAAGAGTGACCCAGATTTCTGATATGTTTTTCAACCAATCAGATTTATTGAATGAAAAAAGTGTAGTTGGTACCTCAGTTGGTACGCAACACATGACGGAATAAAGAGAAGGAAAAAAAACAGCAAGTTTTGAGAGCACTTATTAGACTTTTGACACTTTTTTTTGTCCAGTCACATGTTCACGACCCACTGAAAACGGCTCCGCGACCCACTTTTGGGTCCTGACCCACCAGTTGAGAACCACTACCACTGCACTACATCCTAAACGCCAGTTATGACACGATTGACTCCACGCTGAGTTGAAATATGAAGTTACCAGCAACATACTTGTCTACAATAGTGCTGTGCATTTATTCAGTATATCAACTTTCAATGCCATATGAGCACACAATTTAAATAGGGAAAAAGTCTGAATTGATTGACCCTATTTATCTTTCTTTTTTTTTTTTTTTAAGTAAACGCACCATGTTGAATCAATCTGCATGCACAAGTCCGTAACTGTATTTAGATTTATTTTCAGGAGGATCATGTTGCTAACAGGTGTTGACTAAAACATGATAAACAACAGATAGACACAGAGGCTTCATCACACTTCATTGCATCGTGCAGGCCTAATCTACAACGTTCTTACACCTGAACTAACCTATATGAATGGACGAGATGATTTCTGCATTCTGTCAGTGTCCTGGATGTACAGCATAGCATGCAACCTGCAGGGCAGGTCGTTTGTTAAACTAAGGACATGGCCGAACTGCTCAAACATGCAGAGCAGAGTCATCTTCTTAAAGGGTTGTGTAAAGGTGAGAGCATGTTTACGAGTGCTTTTGAACGTCACCACTGCAAAAAGAAAACGATACTTCTGTGTCATTTCCTTCTTTCTTCAGAATCTACCTGACCATTGTTAACACATGCTGTACTTGTAGGCAGGGGAAAAGGGGTCAAACATGGGAGGGGAACTACGGCAAACAGTGCTGCGTGTTTCCTACATTAGTGCAACTACGAGCCGTGGGTCAGTAACTTTTTATAAACAAAAGATTTTCGTCATGTACTGCGTGGGACTGACACAAAGCCATCACTTTACGTGAGCTTCAGGATTAGCCACTTAATGGAGGACTCACCAGGAAGACTTGATTGGCACTTTCGCTGAGCGTGGAGTCGTCAGGACTGTCCACTGGAGTCTGGCTGGTGAACTTGGAGTCAAACTGGCTGGCGTCTTCGGCTGATTGCTGCCAAAAGAAGACGCAGTTCAGTTAATCACATTGTAGGGACGAGTCAGAGGCAACAAAGCTGCATGAAATAAAAAAATCTCACCAGGAAAGGTTTAAATGGAGGCTCTACTTTGCGGGCAAGGAGGTCGTCCCAGTTTGTGTGTCGGAAGAACGGGTGGACCTTTCAAATAAAACGACAGCAAACAGGTTTATATATTTTAAGGATTTCTAAGAAACATTATTTCTTGAGTTATCACAAATGAACACGCTGCATGCTGAGTCTCAGTCAACAGATGTCTCTACCTGCACCTCTGCAGCATCTCCCGCTCCAGCTCCGAGTCTTGATGAGGCATTACGTTTCAGCAGCTGAAGGAGAACGTTTGGAAAGTCAGTTTTCTGCCTAACACTACTGATGTCTCATCAGAGACACACAGAGGTTTGCTTTTTCACAGCTCACCTTTTTCAGGAGGTCCCTGGCTTCTTGTGTGAGGTATGGAGGAAGGCTGAGTTTGCATTTCAAGATTTTGTCAATGGTCTTCTTTCTGTTTTCACCAGTGAATGGAGGCTAACAAACAAAGACGGATGGAAACAATAGTTAGAGGAAGCCACAGCAGCACATTCTCCTGATGCTGCAGGGGTTTCACTATTTCACACCTGAACAGAACTTTGATCAGTAAGAGATTTCAGATTTAGATTTCCCAGTCAAAAGCATCATCAAGGAATCTCTCAGTATATTTTTTCTCTCCACCGTCAACTATTTGGGACATCCACTGTCTATCAATCATCTAATATGCTTATCCCGTTGGGGTCGTGTGTTTGGGGGGGGCTGTCAATAGGGGAGAGGCAGGTACAACCTGGACTCTTCACCTGTCAATCACAGGGCTGACATAAAGAGACAGACAACCAGCCACACTCACATTCACACCTACGGGCAGTTACCATAACAAGCATGTCTTTGGACTGTGGGAATAACCGAAAAGGAACCAAAGCATGAACGGGGAAAACATACAAACTCCAACCAGAACATGTTCCAGGTACCTTCTTGCTGTCAAGTGGCCGTGCTAACCAGCCCACTACTTGAGCTACTTTTAGAGGTATCATTGTCCCTGCTTCTATTAAGATAGCAGTCCACATGCTGTACATTCCCCTGCCCTGATAACTGTCAGCTGGTTAGTTTGTGCACACACAGAGGTTACTGTATAAGGGCAAGAAGCCATGTGTTGCAAAATGCTGTAAAACCCCAAATGGGGAAACATATTCTGAAAGTGCATGCTCTCTGTTTTTTGTTGCTCTATGTCTGTGTTCAGCTTGTTAAAGCTGTTAAAGCTTAAGCTTGTTAAAAAGCTTTACTTCATGATTATTGCTTTAAGCTTGTTTATTGAAACCATCATTCTAACTAATTTTAGAATAATTGTCGGTATGTTTATAATATACAAGATCCCTGAGAAATAGATGAAATAATACAAGTCCATACTGAAAACTAAATGACCATAAAGTCATATTTAATATAATAAAGTAAAATGAGTTTGCTGTGAATGATGCCACTGGCTGAGGTGCAAAAGGTTGAAATAGAAAACGATTACCGTAAAATCCGGAATATAATTTGCACCGGTATACAAGACGCACCCTGTTTTGAAGGTCTCTTAGAGAGAAAAAAAGTTTAAACTGTTTTCCTGCTGGACGATTTATATTGTGTTCAGCGATGTCTACAACGTGCAGTTTCTGTGCAGCTGTGTTGCTCTTTTAGTTCCGTTTGTTTTCACTTTCGGGAGTTTGCGCTCCTACTAGCTACAGTACGGTAGTTGAGCTCTCAGCCTGCAGGGAAAGTTGTGAAGCACAGACTCCTAGCTTGCGAGTCGCGCTGCCTGGCTCCGCTGGTCACTCTTTAACTTTAATATAGGACTCTTTTAATCAAAAGAACACTCCACAAGGTTTATTTACGGAACAATATACCACTGTTTTCTGTAAATGCATGATTATGACCTTGTGAGGAAGAAAAGATGTGGAAAAAGTCGCGCAGCCAGCCTGGTCTGTGTCGCTGTCTTTCCCAGCACAGCGTGCACTCAGCTTTTAATACACAATGAATGGGGATGGGTTTTTAATCGCATCAGGTTGCAGTGATAGTGGCTGCTGCACCACTGTAATGACGGTGCATGTTTCAGTATTTTATACTGGTATATTGGTCGCACCAGTGTATAAGACGCACCCAATTTTTAAGAAGAAAAAATAGGTATTAAAAGTGCGTCTTACACACCAAATTTTACGGTAATTGTGGATTTAGAGAATCTTGACACCTCGTCTGTCCAGTCATCAAGTGTTTGACTATCTATAAATGCTACAACGGGTCGGTTGGTTTGTACTTACTGCTCCTGTCAGCATGTCATACATAAGAGCCCCTAAGCTCCACCAGTCCACTGCTCGGTTATGTCCACTCCTCATCAGGATCTCTGGAGCCCTGAGGAAGGAGTAGTCGGTGAAACATTATACAGCTAATGCATCCCTCTGTGAAGGAGGCAGGAAACGTGACTGCAAAGCTGGAGACTGAATACAGTTATATTATCTGGGTGGTGATTGTGTGACATACATGTACTCGATGGTGCCACAGAAGGTGTGGGTGACCGTCCCGTCATGGATGGACTCTTTGCACAGACCAAAGTCTGTCAGCTTCACATGTCCTAAAAGGAAAAACAGAACCAAATTAGCAACATGAGTGAAACTACACACCAGAGATTTTATAGATTTAATATCAGATAACTCAGGAGGAATGGTTCCACCTGGGAACTGAAGGTCATATGTGGAGAAGACTTCTCATTTATCAGCTCTGCCCTCATGTGTCTTTACCGTTGTTATTGAGCATGATGTTCTCAGGCTTCAGATCCCTGTAGATGATGCCTTTCTGGTGCAGGTGACCCAGAGCCATCGAGATCTCAGCCAGGTAGAAACTGTCAACAGAAAGGTGAAGACAAGGCTCTCAAAAATAGCAAAGCTTTAATAAGTTAAGCATCCCCCCCCCTTGACCTTTAGTCACAGAGCGTATTCCTGTATTCACTTTCCCCACTGTGATGTGCAGTGAAGGCGTTATTTTCAAAGTCATATAGAGTTTTCCAGGAATATTGCACACCCTTATTTGTTCAGCAGCTCGGTTTATGTAATCACTGTTTTCATCTACAGGCTGTGTTTATAAAACAGAGCAGCATGTATGGCTGCTGTTCCAAGTGAATGTCACACTGACTCAGAAACTGTGTCACCTTCAGCCTGTTTTCCAAAACTGAAAGCTTCAGACCAGAGCTGTTTGTCTAATTTTTATCCTCTATTTACTAAGAGTCATGTGGCCCATACTGTCCGCATTTTAAACCATTTCAGGGTAACTTGTGAGGGTGGCTTTTTTAATATGTGTACAAACATATGAGGTGAGTGGAGAAGGCGATGAAGGATCCTCAGACATTTAAATTTGATATGTTTGACAAGAACAACATCCTGCATCAGAATTCTTTCCAGAAACTTTATCTCTTGTTTTCATTTCTCAGGAAAGGTTGACGACAGACGCTCTAAACTCACCACGCCGTGTCCTCCATGAAGATGCCCTCTCTTTCCAGCTGCATAAACAGCTCCCCACCTGCAGCACCATAACAAAACAAGATCAGTCAGATGCATTTCAGTGGAAATAATGAATCATATATTTAAGTCCCGATCTCATATCCTGTCTGTGTAGGCTCTCAGTCATCCAGGTTACTGTAAATTGTAGCTTGATGCAACAATAACCACAAAATAAGTAAAGACTATTTTCATTATCAGCAGGCTAATCTTCTCCTCTCTGGGTTCATCACAATCCTGACATGTCTGTTTTCTGTTTCTGCTCGTTTCTTATTGTTCTTTAAGCGTATGTGGTTAGGCATCAAACTAGTATTTCTATGATTCGCAAGTTTAACGACACAGATCTTGCTTTGCACGTTATCGTGGTCTTTTTTGTCAAAGCACTTCCAGACATCGCTTTTCCTGGACACGACTGACACGGTGCATGTAACGCTCACGATTAAACAACGCATGCACTCGTTAACCAGTAGGGAAACGTTCCCTGAATAATGACGTCAACAAGGAGTACTCAAGCAGCTGAGTAATCACACCCATCGCTAATATGGGGTGAAAAATAAAAGGGAAAACTTCGTCCTACTCCTATTTGTAATGGTCCTGTTAGCTTGTGTTGAATATTGCTGTTTAGGTGAACGTAACAGATTTATATTCCTTTTTGTATTTAATTATTATTATCATGAATAAAATTGTTATAAAGTAAAGTGACAAGTTAACTGCCCCTCTTAAGGAAACTGAACTGTTTGTTTGTTTGTTTGTTTGTTTGGGCATCCCATTGCTCACCGCTCAGATACTCCAGGATAAGGTACAACTTTCCCCCGGTCTGGAAGGCGTAAATGAGGTCCACGATGAAAGGGTGCTTCACCTCCTCCAGAATGTTCCTCTCCGCTTTGGTGTGCGCTGTGTCCTTTGCGTTGCGCACAATCATGGCCTGGAGAGGGACACACAAAAGCACACAGACTCAGGGCTGTGAAACGATTCAGGCTGTAGCTTTTAGCCCAGTTTGTGTCATAGCTCCAACATCAGCTGCTGCAGGGGCAGAGCACATACAGGAAGCCAGGTTGGTAGCTACAGTAAAGTCTCATTAAGCCAATAAACACAGTCATTAACTCAAAACCTCAAGCTTCGGGGAATAAGAGCTGGCTTTTCAGGCAGAGGCAGGCACCAGCTCAGTGTCAGCTGCAGAGAGGAGGCCAAGCTGAACAGAAGCAGCATATCTGAGGTTTTAATGGGAGAAAGCATGCTGCCATTATTTTGGGTGGTCTGCCCTTAGCTCCTTGCTTCACAGCTGAATGCACCAGTGTGTCACCAGAGACGGCACACAGTGACATTCAGCGCACATGAAACACGAGACACGGTTAATCTGTGTTTGGCTTTAGAGTTCAAGTATTTAAGGTGCTAATGCCCTGTATACGTAGGCAACATAAGTTTGCTTACATATGGATTACAGAATGCAGGAGCCCTTCCTCTTACACAACCTTACACTACTCTGTCTGAACACCAGGGGGCACACAGGCTCAGACTGACTGTTACACTGAGCTTCTCTTTCGGTCATTGAGTTCATTCTCACTGAAAGTTATTTAAAACCTTATAAACCTAATTTAAGAAGGATTCACTCACCTTCTTCAAAACTTTCATGGCAAAAATCTTCCCACAGTTGGCACCTGATACTTTCCGAACCTGGAACACCTGGAAAGATTTAAAACACATCAAACACAGTCGATATAAATCTACACAGTGCTCCTGCATGTAACATGAAACCTTTTCCTTTACTGGCCAAAGTAAAAAAAAAAAAGCATGACTGAAACAGAAACAACAATATGACGGACGATTTTTTTATATTCTGTGGATTCTTTCAAAAACCTTAATTTTTTTTAATTTCCTAAACATTTAAAAGATTTTAAAGGCAAACAAATAAAACAACATTAACAGCATAGTTTATGTAAAGACTTCAGGACGAGACTCGGGGCTACGATGAAGTTAAAAAAAACGTATCCAGTCCAACCCTTTTTTATATTTTCAGTTTTATGAACCAAGCAAAGGCCGAAGCTTTCAAAATAAAAGCAAAGAATACAAAAAAAAAGCAACTACACAATAAAGTATATGACCCATGACAATAGGTAGACAGAACAATGTTATATTATTCTATTATTTTTTAAGTATGCCGCAGTATCCTGTAGTGTTGTAGCCAAGACCACACTAATGGAGACCAACATACCCGAGACCAGAGTGCTCCGAGACCGAGACAAGACCAAGACATTCAGGGATCGAGACCAAGACCATAAGTATCACTGAAAAATCATCATCTTGTGTGCAGGGGGCGTGTCACTCACTTAGTCTGAAGTCTGACTTGGTAACAAGCAACTTCAGCAGTCCGGATTAAAATCAACATGGCTGCTTAGTGCATCAACTGTAACGTTTAAGATGTAACTATTGTGTTTATCTGCAGCTTAGTTTTATGGGATTAAATCAATTACACCGACAGTATCGTGCAAGCTCTATTTGTGGACATGTTGTACCTCAGGAGACCCCCCTCCTGTCCGACAGGGATAGTCTCCCGCTGTGAGCAGCATATGTGAACAGCCAGGTAAGTTGAATGTCCGGAGCAGAGATACACAAAGACATGTGTAAAGGCTACAGTGTGTTGTTAGCACCTGATATTAGCTTAAAAAATCAAATGTACTCTTGGAGGCGTCCATGATACTTTTCCGACTTGCAACTGTAACGTGGTTAACCCGGGTTTGACTTCATTCCCAGCTCCGAGATCTGAGTCCCGAGGTAAATGGAACGCACCATAATTCCACTTCTTGAGGATATTTTTCTACGAGGCTGGCTGGAAGAAGTCCGGCTTAAAATGTGGTCGTTTGCATTCACACATGTGGCTCAACCCCGAACATTTTGGGAAATGTTTAGAAGTTTAGTCCATGTGTGAAAAGGCTTTTATTACTCTAATTCTGTGACTGATGCAGAGAAGGACTGCACTGATTTAGCCTGAACTAAAGTTTTAAACATTATTCGTTAACAGCGCTTTTAAGGGCAGAGAACTTCCAACCTTTCAGCGAAATCCTGAAGTGTCAAAACACGAGACTATAAAAACAGACAACAGCAAGCTTTCTTTAACTGTTGGATTGTAAAGCTGGAAAAATTCCCAGGACGCAGGAAACGACTTCTTAGTCATCAGACATAAAAACCACTTCAAGACGTACTAAGTCACGCATCTGTTTGCAGAGTGAAAAGTGTTTCCAAAATAACTGTGATGTGCACTTTCTGTGCCAAAGCTTGGAAAAGAAGAGGTCAGGAAATTTCCACAGCTCATTGTGTGGGTGACACCAAAAATCAAACAATCAATTCAAAACGTCTTCATGTCAGCGGGTCAAACACTTGATGGAAGGCACTGCAGATGATTACAGTTCTGTATTGATGTGGGTGAAGGAGGAGGCCGTTTGAAGATGGCAGATGTTACATTTGAAGTCGCAGTATGAATATCAAACTTTCCAACAGCTAGAACTTAAAATGCTCTCAAAAAAAGCCGTGAAAATAAAGGAGGGAAGCGTCTTTCGCATGCAAGGCTTAATTTCCAACCACTTTATTTAGCAAAAATCCCCACCCGTTGGAATTAAGACGACTGAAATGTCCTCCACCACAAACTGACAATGTGACGACAGGTCCAAAACAAAAACAGGGAATGACAGAAGGGTATTTTCCCCACTTTGAAAACAAAATGTATCAGAATATCTCAACTACTTCGGGTCTTTTTGTGTCTTTTTTTCAACTACACAGCTCTGAACAGCTGTTAGTATCATTCATTTACTGTTTAAATTTCAAACTTCACGTTTACATGCCGCGATAACCAAAATAACATCTTAAGACAAGAAAATCAGAAAGAAGCCAAATCCATCAGAGACTGGTGAGTGAGGGGCTTGGATGTGTATAGGTTTCAGTTTGGGGGAATTCAGATACCTCACCTTTCCGTAGCCTCCTTTCCCCAAAACTTTCAGCAGCTCAAAGCATTCAGGCCTGATCTGCTCTGTCCCCTGGTTCACGCTGTTCTCTGAAATTTCAAACTTCTCACAGTCATCCATGTTACTGGGAAAAAAAACAAAAACAAACAAAAAGAAAGATAAGAGAACATGAAGAAAATCACATTCAAAACATTCAATTAAAGAGGACATATTATTCCCCTTCTCCACCTTTTCAAACAGTCCCCTGTGGTCTAAATGAAACATCTGTGCTGTGCTTTGGTCAAAATATAACATGAATCAAGCACCAGAGGAGGTTTGTGACCCTGTATAAACCAGCTCTCTCAGAACGCTCCGTTTTGGTGTGTGTGTCTCTTTAAATGTAATGACCCCCCAAGTTTTTCAGGTAGACATCACTCCTCTGTAGCGAGAATAAAAATGACGGACCTACGCAAAAGTTTTTTGTTCTAGGCTGGGGGTGGAGTCCGGGGGTGGAGATACCAGGGGATTTTTTTTTTACCAGAATCCCACTGTGACATCACAAGGAGAGCTAATTTGAAACAGAGCACTTTTCTCTGTGTTCTAAGACTTATGCAGAACACAAAGGACTGGATGGGTTTATTTCACATTTTGTGGGTCGGTAGACACTCAGGGTACCCAAATATATGTTCACAAACACTGGGCAAAATCACAAGGGGATTTTTTTAATAATATGTCCCTTTTAAGATTTTGCTGATCATTTGTTGAATGTACGAAGCAGTATCCTCAATGAGAGCTACTGGGAGGGCTGCTGGATTTTTGATCAAATCGTAATCACCATTTTTACTGAGATTGCGATCATGATTATTAAACAGTAGGGATCGGAATCTTTGGGTGTCTCACGGTTCGATTTAGATTTAGAATCTTGGGGTAACAATTCGATTCTACTGTACTAAAAGAACAGAAAGCCTTTTGTGGACCTCACTAGAAACAATAGAAATCATCACGCAGGATACAGTTTAAACCCTTTTTTCTTCCTGGGAAACTCCCAAGCGGACTCATATCTGAGGTCGGGGGCCCTAATGTGAAACCACCCTTAGAAGAGCGCTGTTCATTCATCCACTAGACTCAACAGACAATGTCAAGGAGCACTGAGGCTGCTGTCGAGGTTTGTGATGGTCCAACACATCTTATAAGAGTCGACCCTCGAAGCTGTCACTCATCAGTTATCACTAATGGTTTGGCAATATGGTAAAATAAGATTGTGCTTAAATGGATACTTCACCCATTTGCATTAAGCTTTGCATCATTAGAAACCTGGTAGTATTTTTGAATGGTCGTGCATCCTGTGAGGATGAGGAGCTGGGGCGGACTGGTAGTGTCGGTGCGCTCACTGTTTACCTATGGACACAGACATAGAGTCTGTTTTCTGCCAGGAATTTCCAAGATGCCAATTCCTTTTGGAAGAAATCTCGGAATCAGTTGAGGAAACGGTGTGTGAAGTAACCCTGTTTGTAAACCTGACCTTAGTGGGAGTGGCCTGAGGTGCTGTGCATTCTGGGATTTGGTGTTTCTCATCCACATGAGCCAAAAAGACACTTTCTGCCTTTTCTCCGCCAAGAAGCACCAACTTCAACATTTATTTCACATTTCTACTACATATATAACCCAATGTCAATACATATTCATGTTTCAACGGGTGAAGTATCCCTTTAAGAGCTAAAGTAATACTGTTCAGTCATTCAAATCAAAACAAATGACTCTCTTAATCCGTAAGGGTCACAGTAAATGACAGTTCTACTTTTACTCACAAGTCAAAGCCACTGCACTGGTCCATGTATTCACTGAGCTGGCCCTGGAAACAAGAAGAACAAGACAGATAATATCAGCATGTAGCAGGGTCAAGGTCAACTCAGTTAAAGTCACATCAGGTACATCAAACCAAGGTGCTTGAATAAGTAAGTTATGGAGCACCTTTCAAGAGCAGACATCCTAAAGTGATTCATATTAAAAAACTAACAGAGACATTAAATACCGACAGGTACATAAAAGTAGACATACACAGATTAAACAAAGACTGTCCTCTTGGCCAGGTCACCCTTGCTAAAAATCATGATCTCAATGGGTTAATTACCTGGTTTAATTTAATGTTTTTAAAAGCTTAAACAGATGGGTTTTTAACTTTGTTTTAAAAGTGTCCACAGAGTCTGGAGTACGACAGTTACAAAGTGAAGGTGCAGCAACTTCAAAGGTACAGTCTCCTTTCGTCTTAAAACTGGTGCGAGGAACCACCAGCAGACCCTGATCAGAGGACCTCAGAGTCCTGCTGGTGTTATTTGGCTTCAGCAGCTCAGGGATGTATGCAGGAGCTTGACCGTTAACACATGAAGTCAGTGCAAAGACATGAGAGTGGGTGTGACACAAGACCTTCTAAGATGATTTTGTCAGCAGCGGTTCAAGGACGTTACGCTCAGACATGTGAGAAGATAATTACAATAATGAAGGCTTGAAAAAACATAAGTGTGGACATTCATCTTGAGCTCCAGTACATGTGTGTAACACTAGTGTGTGTGAGAAGAAGCATTTCTCTCTATAACAGACTTGATAACAGAGTATAAAACCAGAATTTCCCCCTGTGGGGAAATTCATTTTAGATTCAAATTCATTTTAGAGCACTTTTAGGCTTTTTCATGTATCAGTGTGGACAGAGGCGACCCCATTTGAATTTCACGTGACCCTAAGGTTGGGAAAGCCTGATTAGAGACCCTATATAGGCTTTAAAAACAGAGGCATTTAAAGTCAAATTAAACGTATTTAAGGTTTCACAAATGTGACCAGTTTACATTCCCTTATCACTTTTTTCACCATGTTTGTTTTAATATGGTAAGTGTGGTTTCCTTCTAGTATATTTGCATTCATGAATGTTGTATTTTTTAATAAATAAACAGGTTCAAAACCTTATAGTTTTATGATCAGTAATGAGTCCATGTTTGAGAGTAAAAGTTAATTAAAAAAGAGCCTGAGTTTAGTACAACTAATTTCACATTGGGTGAGTGATGGGAAAGCTAACAAAACAAGTACCGGTTGTTTGTCAGTTGTACTGTTAAATCATTTATAATCCACTTTGTCTTTATAAAAGTAAAAGTAATTGTTAAACCATATACTATGTATATTTGAACTATGTATGTGGCGTTCAGGTGACTGAATATAATGTAGTTAAATCCATACAACAGGCGGATGCCGATACAGAGCTCATCTAACACGATGATTCCATTGTCGGACACACAGTTATCTACGCCCGGTAGTTAAGTAATTTCGCGCTTTCGTTACAGCTTTTTTACGACGTCTTTGTTCAATATTATCTCATTTATGTTCGTATTTGTGTAGGTTTGCTGGCATTGTACATTGTTTTAAACGTGTAAAGTCTGTTTAAGTTTGAACGCTGGTTGCGTCAACTTCAGCCGGGAAAAACAACACAACACGGCTACACATGTCCGCTGTCGTGGGTTTTAAATGTCATCGAGCACGACCAGTGATTTATTCGGTATATCAAACAGATATGTCCGTAAACATGTACAGGGTGTAGCAGATGTACAGTGTAGTGACTGTTACGGGGACACTACCAGATTCCGCGGGAAAGGGGTATCTGAGGACATGTCCGATAATAGACTCACTCACATTAGCAACACGGGCCTCTAAAGTGCTAGCTACGCGCTTACTAGCTTAGCCAGCTAATGTAGTAAACAGCGGCGGTGGGTGTTAGCCTGAACGTTCACGTAAACTCACCGCGTCCTCCAGCTCGTCGTCAGAGACATTCTCATCCGGTTGATCCAAATCGAGGTCGAACACTCCAGCCATGGTCCCGGCACTTCTTCTCTCAGCGTGAGGTCTGAAAACGCAGCGCCGCTCCCCCGCTTTATGGGAGAGCCATGATCACCGCTACAGCCGGCTACAGCAGGCAGCAGCATGTGTTAGCATCAAGCTAACCAAAACAACACAGTGCAGCAGGAAGCCTCTAGTGTCAGCCCCAGGCACTACTCTATTCCACTTAAAGATACAGAAATACATCAGAAAAGTAATAAAAACTCACGATAATAACAGAGGACACAATTTAATGCAGAATAATCGGTCATATTTAAACCTTCCTAACTACTTTTCCTCACTCAAAAAGGGTCGGAGTGAGTTAAATGTGTACTTTTTATTTGTTTATTTTTTACTTTTATTGCAAGGATGAATGTAGAAATTAGCAACTTTGCAAATTGCATCTAAACAGTGCAATACATTTAAAGCTAAGGATGCAAAGATTAATGGTAAAATCGTGATAAATCGATTCAAAGGTGTCAAGGTTCACATCAGTACTCTGAAAAATGAATGTCAATAATATTGTGAGCATCAGCAGCTGCAGAGCAAGATTTAGAAATTGAGGACGCACCACCGTCTTTTAAATCGGAGGTGTGGAAGCTTTTTGGCTTCCCCAAGACAGAAAATGAAAGAGGAGAGAAGATAACAGACAAAAACTGTGTGCAAATATTACAAGACAGGGAACTACACAAATAGCACAACCAACATGATGCAGCATTTAATCCACACCACAATGAGAAGCTCCAATCTCCTCCCATTGTTGAGAGAGAAAAAACACACTGACAAGCATGTTAGCATCCCCTAAAGGAATCTTTTCCACTCATCATTTGTCTTCAGTCTCATTTTGTAAAATAAATCGTGAGAGAATCTTATTATGAGTTGAGTGAATTGTTACATTCCTACTTAAAGCAGAGGGCAATGCTATTTTAGTTCGTCAACGCCCCTGAAGTACCAAAAAGTAAGAAAAAATGAATATATAATATAATGCGCTTGCTTGTCTTATGCACACAACATAATAACTTGTTAGCGAAACATAATTATCTTGTGGCACAAGAGTAAAACCTGTATAAGGACCTTTTTCACACTGAGATTGTTTGCAAATTATAAAGATCTCGTTTGCAGAATATAATCAATTATCATCTAACTTGTTCGCACAAGATAATCGCCAGGGTTTCTGCAAATCCTTAAAAAGTATAATTATAATTAGATATTTAAAATTCAGGTTCATACAATGTTGAAAACCTCTTATTTTCACCGCATGTAAGAGGTTTTCAATTTTATAGATAACGCTTTGACTGAGACATGTAGGCTACGATTACTTTATCAGATCTACACTGTCTAACATTTTATTAATGTTCCTTTTGTGGAGTTTGTTTCCATGTTCAGGCGACACATTATAGACCAAGTGACTCATAGCAAAAGTTACATTAAGTTAAATTAATTTCCCATTTGGGACAGTAAAGTCAAAGTCTGTCTAACATCGGTGAATAAAACTGCAAACTCTGAGCAGCACTGTACACGGGATAATACAAATGTATAATAATACTCATTTCTGACATCCTGCTCTTTACTTTTATGATCTTTTGTCTTTCAGGCCAAGCACTGATGTGGGTCATTTAAAACCAGGACTAGAGGGTGAAGTTATAGCCTATAATTATGGTCTTTTCTAAAAGTACATTGAGATGTATTAGTATAGATTTATATTTAAATTGTATTCATATTCCGATGCATCATTTGAGATGCTGGCCAGCAGCTGAACCGGCTTCTATGAGGATGCCTTGCAGACCCTAAAGACACCCTGATAAGTCCAAGAAAGGTAAGCACAGGTGTAAATCATGCAAATAAAGACTGCTGAATTCCATGGAAATTGATTTCCTTGTAATTTGCGTGCTGACTCATGTCTTATTATAGGATTATTTATCAGGAGCTATTTAATGCTTTATGCTGTGAGAGGTTAAGTTTATTGTTAGCCCCAGAAATAATCAGATTATATCCTTAAAATTCATTGCAGAGTGTCTTCATACCTCGTTTTCGCCAGTAGGTGGCAGCAAGAAAAAGGCAATCCTTTTGGCAAAAGCCATTTTTCATTCAACCTGAACCCCTAACCCGTACAAGTACTTTCTTCAGATCCACTATAAGATACCCACCAGCATTAAATAAGTAATGCATTTTAATTTAACAAAGTCAGGTCTTGACCTTGTGTGGTCTGCCGCCACATCCGTCCGATGTGTCCTTGGTGGGCAAAACACTTAACCCCGAATTGCTTCCACTGCTTCGTCAGCAGCATATGAATGTGTAAGAATGGATACTTCTGATGGACACTTTACGTAGCAGCCTCTGCCATCAGTGTGTGAACAAAATTTGTACATTTTGGGCGACTGCTGTGGTTTAAAGTTTGTCAGCCCTCAAGGGCCTCCTTACTGGCCTGGGGCCCCAAGCAGTTGCCTGCCTTGCCTGTTGACAAGAAGCGCCTCTGACTCTTAAGAACAGCTCATGCCTCGCTGTGATGATGTAACATTAAACTCCATATTTCATGAAAAAGAAAAACATCTCTAGGATTTTTACATGAGGAAAAACGTCCTCTGATTCGTCCAGTGGTTGTTTCCAGAATCCGATGGTATCACATGATCACCCACAGTGATCCCGGGACAAACAGGGAAGCCCAATGAAATTGCGTATTGGATAAATGTAACCCTCTGAAATCCCCTCGCTGCTGCTTCCTTCAGTCCATCTGATGTGAAGGCAGCCAGCAGGGTGCTCCGCTGCAGCGAGATTTTCATCATTGATGAGTCTTTTTTTATTTAAGTAAAAGTGACAATGATTACAGATCAGTGAAGGAGTGAGAAGGTCAATCTGCACCACAGCTCGCTTTACTGCGGTGGGCTTTGCCTGAAATCTGTCTGTCAGCGGCCCCCTGCTGGGCAGCGTTTCTTTGAGCGCTGCCTCGAGTCCCTCTGATAGTTTGTTTTACTTTGATTGCTCTGTGATCAAATCCAGCTGCCCTGAGTAACTGGATATGTTTTCTGTGTGTGTTCTCTGTTTTGTTTAGCTTTGTTTATGTTTACAGGGAGAACAGACTAGACACTGTTAGAAAGTCGCTCGGCTCTGTTGTGGGTCCTTGTGATGACTTGAGGTTGGTACTGCGTTCTCCCAAAATCACTTTGTGTACGAACCGACTGCGTTGTGCTCACATGTTTGGACTTTGTCAATATGGAAAGGCATTAATTTAAAGATGGAGGGTGAGAGCTGTCAGCATCTTGGTCTGATTCTTTTCTCCTCCTGGTGTTTATTGCAGAACAAAGACTTCTGGTGGTTTTGATTGTAATTACTTGAACTATAAATCCCCATAACTTGAGAATACAGAACCGTATCAGTCTTTATAATGTTCTGTTGCCGTGCAAACACTAAACTGATAAAACATGTTCTCCTCGAGCAGTAACCTCCAGGAAGTTAAAAATGAATTTTGCAGTTCCTACAGTGGCCACTTGAGGCAGACTCCAAAAGTGAGTCAGTGCCCATCAGGCCCCATATTAAAATGACAGACAACAGAGCAGAATTAAACATAATTACAGTCTGGTACAAAGAAAGAAAGAAGTTTGGTCTCTGTGACTTATAAACTCTGGATGTTAAAATGTCTGTATGAGTCACTTGTGTCATATATTAAGATTTAAAGTTATTCATAATAAGGTGCATGGTTGCTTTGACAGGTGGGTGCTGCTCTCTGCCTGCTGCTTGTCGCCTCAGCTAACCCAGTCACTGCCATGTTTGTGTCCTCTGTGTGTCTTTAGAGATATTCTGAAATATTCACACACCAACAAAGCAGCAGGAGCAACTTGAGGTTAAGTGTTAAGTTTTTATTTGAGATAGTTTTTTACCCGATCAAACACAGAGCGAGGAGGATGTGGGTACAAGATACGATCCATAAAGAGCGCCGGGGAGTCGGGGACGTCAACAGTGCCTTTCTGAAAAGTTGAAAGAATTTCTACTTGAGCGCAAAAAAGGCGGCGCACTCGGAAGAAAAAATGCTGGGAGCTGCGCTTTTTCTGCTGCAAACGCTCTCTCCTCGTTGAAAACAATTGAAAAAACACGTTGGCGCTCAGAAAAAAAACATATCTTTTTTATTTTATTATATGACTAACTTTTAATCTTGGCATTTCCACAACACATGGAAAGAAAGAGAGTTACAGTCTTATATCCCTCATGACACTGGATGGATAAAGACTTGATGTAAAACCAGGAAACATTTGATAAAGTACTGTGAGAATGTGGGACCAATTGGAAACTCTTCTTCTGTTAAACTCTGTCGCTCTAATAAATCTGTTCCTCTCTTTGGCGGCAACAGGATGTAGAGTTATCGGCGAGGTATGGTGATTATAACGAAGCACTTTGGGGGGCTCAAGTTGTTAAAACGGTAAAAAAAGTCCTCTAGTGGAATATCACTGCAGAGAAGGCCGAGCTGGGAGCACAGTGTGTTTGTTGTGTAGTCTGGCATGGATGCGTCTGGTTTTGTTTGCACTTTGTGGTCGTTTGCAGCACGTTGATGGGCACGCTGCATACAACCACACTGCATGTGGTAAACAGGCCTCATGCAGAGTATGTGGACAGGACTAAAATTAGCTGTGATTGCAATGCCATAAAAGCTGAGAGCTTAGGTTTGTAATGGTAATGTCATATGTTTTTGATGACTGTTTATAGACACCGAGGATACGGCTGTGTGACTGTTAGATTTCTTTCTGTGTTCTGTTCACGTGCGCTTTTTTTTTTTGCAAATCTTCAAATCTAAAAAGAGGTTGTTATTTTTTTCTTTCTGAAGGTCTTACATAACCACCAAGGCACCGATCCCATACCATAATTTAGTGCTGCAAAACCTCCTGGGATTAACTAACATACATACACATGTAGTGAGGTTTGTATTTAGATGTATGGACTTTCCACTTTGTAAAGAGGAAACGTATCAGTCCGTATTGGGAGTAGAAATCAACCGCCATCTGATAGTTAGCTTAATGCTATCACTAGCGTACCATCATGCAAACACAATCATAACAAACTAAATTTAAGTATGTTATGAATGAAAACAAATGTGACAAGACTCTAGGGAAGTCCCTTTTGCCACGA